AAAGATATATAATTAAAGCATGCAAATACACTCTGTTGATCACATTTAACAATGAAAGTGTCCTTCAGTTTTTGTGATAAAGGTCCAATTTATGTAAAAAAAAATATATATCTATTAACAAAAAATACCCAGCCTATGGAGTTTTAATTTAAATACAAAGTGTATTTATTTATTTATAATAATAATTTATTTATTTAATTGTATTATTATTATTATTATTAGTTGTTAATCTGTAGTCCCTGGACAGATGTTGCAAAGTCACCCTATAAACACATTTATTTAATTAATATTTATTTAATTGAATACATTTACAAGAAAAACAAAAATACGAGTATAAATGTTATTTTAGTTAAAATGTCAAATGTGTGAATTTGATTTAAACACCAGACAAGGATAGTTTGATATAGACCTTTTTTTACAGCCATCGTCCAATCCACCTCCTGCCCCCTGACCACACACACACACACACACACACACACACACACACACACACACACACACACACACACACACACACACACACACACACACACACACACACACACACACACACACACACACACACACACACACACACACACACACACACACACACACACACACACACACACACACAGTAATAGGACAGAGTGTTAAAGCTCGTCCTGACAAGAGAGAATTGGATGTCAGAAGATCCCTGCTCGCTTTAATTGAATCTGCCCAGCTCTAAAGAAGAGAATCTGAAGTCAAAATAACCCATTAGATCCATCAGGTAATGTTTTGTTGGGTCTGACAGGTAGACCCCCCTCTCTTTTATTCCTTTAGGGTCTCTGATGTTTCTGTTTCTCCTTAATAAATTGTTGCCTTCTGCTTCTCTTTCTGGGAAGAAATAGGTTTAGAGAGGAGCTTTTTTTAGTGAGAAGCTAATGGAAGAGTTCTGAATGCTAACGGCCCGTCCACACGGCAGCGGCGCGTGCTTCAACGGAGACGCTTCCCCTTCACTTTGAATGGGGCGACGTCACGCTTTGCCGAACTGCATTGTGGTTCCGTCGCGTCGCTTTGCCTAATTCAACTTTTCAGAGACAATAACCTACAATATGTTGCTGCTTTCTCCCCGAGATAAGTAACTTGTTTAGTTATTCCAAAGTCCTTCCACCTTCTTTGCGTTATATCAGAACTTAAAGTGGAAAGTGCTGTACATTTAAATGCAAATCTTTTACTGCATTTTCTAAATTGACGGTATGAAAACGGTCTTGAATGTCATGCATTTCTCAGACAGCGTGGAGTCTTGTTTGTTGACTGTCTCTTCATTGCATATGCATCTGAGGGAGGATCGCACAATAAGAGGTCACTAGTGACTGTCAGCTCTGCAGAGGAGCAAGAGGAGGGGACGCAGAGGGATGGGATTTACAAGGAAATAACAGTGAGGAAAGAAAAATGCATGAAATAAACATGAATACATTGTGAAGTGGTCACATACAATCGCAGACATGGCAAGAGCATGTAAACACTGCAGTGGTGTTCCTTTTCAACTGATTATGAAATACAGACGGTAAACTCCGTCAAAACAGAAACACAGAATTATTTTCTGAGTTAAAACTGGCGTGAAGTGAAGAATATGGTAACTCTCATCGTGCTAAGTTTATTAAAACTGTTCCTGATTGCAATCAAACATGTTGTTGTTGTTGGTAAAACTTCCTCTGAGAATAACTAGTGGTTACTCAAAAGACAACATGTTGAAGACCAGGAAATGATGGATACACGGATCGTGTTCAAATCAATAGGCACGCAATGACTCTAAATAATAATGATCACGCCACCAAACACACATTCAAACTAAAGGAACCAGCCTGTTTGGGAAATGTGAGAAGTAGAAAGTACAGGTATTTGGGTTCAACATGTAAGAAGTAGAAAGTACAGGTATTTGAGTTCAACATGTAAGAAGTAGAAAGTACAGGTATTTGTGTTCAACATGTAAGAAGTAGAAAGTACAGGTATTTGTGTTCAACATGTAAGAAGTAGAAAGTACAGGTATTTGGGTTCAACATGTAAGAAGTAGAAAGTACAGGTATTTGGGTTCAACATGTAAGAAGTAGAAAGTACAGGTATTTGTGTTCAACATGTCAGAAGTAGAAAGTACAGGTATTTGGGTTCAACATGTGAGAAGTAGAAAGTACAGGTATTTGAGTTCAACATGTCAGAAGTAGAAAGTACAGGTATTTGTGTTCAAAATGTAAGAAGTAGAAAGTACAGGTATTTGTGTTCAACATGTGAGAAGTAGAAAGTACAGGTATTTGGGTTCAACATGTAAGAAGTAGAAAGTACAGGTATTAGTGTTCAACATGTAAGAAGTAGAAAGTACAGGTATTAGTGTTCAACATGTAAGAAGTAGAAAGTACAGGTATTGTGTTCAACATGTCAGAAGTAGAAAGTACAGGTATTTGTGTTCAACATGTAAGAAGTAGAAAGTACAGGTATTTGTGTTCAACATGTAAGAAGTAGAAAGTACAGGTATTTGGGTTCAACATGTAAGAAGTAGAAAGTACAGGTATTTGAGTTCAACATGTAAGAAGTAGAAAGTACAGGTATTTGTGTTCAAAATGTAAGAAGTAGAAAGTACAGGTATTTGTGTTCAAAATGTAAGAAGTAGAAAGTACAGGTATTTGTGTTCAACATGTGAGAAGTAGAAAGTACAGGTATTTGTGTTCAACATGTGAGAAGTAGAAAGTACAGGTATTTGGGTTCAACATGTAAGAAGTAGAAAGTACAGGTATTTGAGTTCAACATGTAAGAAGTAGAAAGTACAGGTATTTGTGTTCAAAATGTAAGAAGTAGAAAGTACAGGTATTTGTGTTCAAAATGTAAGAAGTAGAAGTAGAAAGTACAGGTATTTGTGTTCAACATGTAAGAAGTAGAAAGTACAGGTATTTGTGTTCAACATGTGAGAAGTAGAAAGTACAGGTATTTGGGTTCAACATGTAAGAAGTAGAAAGTACAGGTATTAGTGTTCAACATGTAAGAAGTAGAAAGTACAGGTATTTGTGTTCAACATGTCAGAAGTAGAAAGTACAGGTATTAGTGTTCAACATGTAAGAAGTAGAAAGTACAGGTATTTGGGTTCAACATGTAAGAAGTAGAAAGTACAGGTATTTGAGTTCAACATGTAAGAAGTAGAAAGTACAGGTATTTGTGTTCAACATGTGAGAAGTAGAAAGTACAGGTATTTGTGTTCAACATGTAAGAAGTAGAAAGTACAGGTATTTGTGTTCAACATGTAAGAAGTAGAAAGTACAGGTATTTGTGTTCAACATGTAAGAAGTAGAAAGTACAGGTATTTGGGTTCAACATGTAAGAAGTAGAAAGTACAGGTATTTGAGTTCAACATGTAAGAAGTAGAAAGTACAGGTATTTGTGTTCAACATGTAAGAAGTAGAAAGTACAGGTATTTGTGTTCAACATGTAAGAAGTAGAAAGTACAGGTATTGGGTTCAACATGTAAGAAGTAGAAAGTACAGGTATTTGGGTTCAACATGTAAGAAGTAGAAAGTACAGGTATTTGTGTTCAACATGTCAGAAGTAGAAAGTACAGGTATTTGGGTTCAACATGTGAGAAGTAGAAAGTACAGGTATTTGAGTTCAACATGTCAGAAGTAGAAAGTACAGGTATTTGTGTTCAAAATGTAAGAAGTAGAAAGTACAGGTATTTGTGTTCAACATGTGAGAAGTAGAAAGTACAGGTATTTGGGTTCAACATGTAAGAAGTAGAAAGTACAGGTATTAGTGTTCAACATGTAAGAAGTAGAAAGTACAGGTATTAGTGTTCAACATGTAAGAAGTAGAAAGTACAGGTATTTGTGTTCAACATGTCAGAAGTAGAAAGTACAGGTATTTGTGTTCAACATGTAAGAAGTAGAAAGTACAGGTATTTGTGTTCAACATGTAAGAAGTAGAAAGTACAGGTATTTGGGTTCAACATGTAAGAAGTAGAAAGTACAGGTATTTGAGTTCAACATGTAAGAAGTAGAAAGTACAGGTATTTGTGTTCAAAATGTAAGAAGTAGAAAGTACAGGTATTTGTGTTCAAATGTAAGAAGTAGAAAGTACAGGTATTTGTGTTCAACATGTGAGAAGTAGAAAGTACAGGTATTTGTGTTCAACATGTGAGAAGTAGAAAGTACAGGTATTTGGGTTCAACATGTAAGAAGTAGAAAGTACAGGTATTTGAGTTCAACATGTAAGAAGTAGAAAGTACAGGTATTTGTGTTCAAATGTAAGAAGTAGAAAGTACAGGTATTTGTGTTCAAAATGTAAGAAGTAGAAAGTACAGGTATTTGTGTTCAACATGTAAGAAGTAGAAAGTCAGTATTTGTGTTCAACATGTGAGAAGTAGAAAGTACAGGTATTGGGTTCAACATGTAAGAAGTAGAAAGTACAGGTATTAGTGTTCAACATGTAAGAAGTAGAAAGTACAGGTATTGTGTGTTCAAACATGTCAGAAGGTAGAAAGTACAGGTATTAGTGTTCAACATGTAAGAAGTAGAAAGTACAGGTATTTGGGTTCAACATGTAAGAAGTAGAAGTACAGGGTATTTGAGTTCAACATGTAGAAGTAGAAAGTACAGGTATTTGTGTTCAACATGTGAGAAGTAGAAAGTACAGGTATTTGGTGTTCAACATGTAAGAAGTAGAAAAGTACAGGTAGTTGTGTTCAACATGTAAGAAGTAGAAAGTACAGGGTATTTGTCAACATGTAAGAAGTAGAAAGTACAGGTATTTGGGTTCAACATGTAAGAAGTAGAAAGTACAGGTATTTGGGTTCAACATGTAAGAAGTCAAAGTAAAAAGTCGTCAGAAAAATAAGTAGTGGAGTAAAGTACTGATACCAGAAACATGTACTTAAGTTCAGTAACAAAGTATTTGTACTCCTCTACTTCCCACCTCTGCCTACATGACACCTACACCCTGATCACTTTGACCTTTGATGAATGTTTTCATCTAAGTTTCTCCTTCCTCCTCCTCAGACTCCCGGGCTGGAGAGGGCGCTCCGAGGACGGTGGACCACGCGGTGATCGGGGGGGTCGTGGCCGTGGTGGTGTTCGCCATGCTCTGTCTACTCATCGTGCTTGGACGCTACTTCGCAAGACACAAAGGTACTGAGCCGGAAATATATATATATTTATATATGTCAGCTTCATAAAGAAGGCTTTCATTAAACTCCAGCTGCATGGGGAGGATTAGTGTTCACAGCAAATACAAGTATTGACAGTAGCTGGAAAAGTTAGCGTATACAGAAGGTTAAACAACTTGACTCAATAACATAGATAAACGGCACTAAATGACCAGCCAAAAACAAACCATACTACTGCAGACCGTAATACTGTATTTATAGAAATCTGCAGTTTCTACTCTGCCTCGAATGAAGACGTGATTTCTTGCTTGATTTACCCAAGTTATCTTTTGTGAAACTGAAATACAGGAACAAAACATAAACATGTAGATTGTTATGAGTTTTACTGTTGTTGTTGTTGTTGTTGTTGTTGTTGTTGTAACATTATCACTGTACACAGAATAAACACACAAACAATAGATCTCCAAGCATTGCATACAGCTGACTGAATATGTAAACAAATATACAAACAAACACTTAAAGGGGACCTATCATGCAAAATGCACTTGTGTACGTCTTTTCTACATGAATATGTGTCCCCGGTGTTCCAGGGAACTCACCAAGTGTCAGAAAACACAACCCTCTCTATTTTCCTCCATACCCAAATCTCTAAAAAAGGGGCTGCAACGGATCTGATAAAAACTGATCCAGATTTGAACACTGTCCTGACGTCAGGACGGTGGCGCTACGGCTATTGGGCCAACTCCACCAATCAGGAGGAGACAGCCACGACCATTGCCGTTCCAAAGCGCTGGAGACGCTGTAGTACATATGCCAGGCCTGTAGGTGGTGCTGTTCTCACTGAATCAGCCCTTGCAGAAACAGAGCTAACATTTTTCAAATTGAGCGAAATGAGGCATGGCTAAAATGCATGATCTGTTTGGTATTTTGAAAAAAAAAAAGTATAAATATGCCTTATATAGGTATGGTCCTACACTATATTATTCAAATATAGCATGATAGGTCCACTTTAAATTCAATAATGATAGCAAACTTTAAGAACAGCTACTCAAAACATGTGAAACAAAGAAAGGAAATGTGAACTTGTATATATGGAAACAACTGCTTTAACACAGTGTTAAATGCATTTCTTGAAGCATTTAGTACCTTTTGAAATGCTCAGGAATATTCCCTTTACCTGAAAGTATTTTATGAATAAAAACACATATTGGATAACTGTCAGTTTATACGATTCAGAACAACTACTACAGCGTGCCTCTTAAAAACAGATTGTTCCTATAAAGTTTATTACTGTAGCCGCTTCACTTTGGAAAAATATATTCGACTACATCCTTTACTAATAACAGAGAGGCTTTTGATAAAGTGTTTCTGCTGGTGAGTGAAATGACATGCCGTCCTGCTGAATACATAACACCATCTGTATGCATGTCCTCATGACACAGAAATAATTATAATCTATAACAAATGTCACACTTTGATATTTCTTACACGGGAAGGAAATGGCTCGGCTGCATGCGGCGCTTTGCAGAGGAAGTACTGTAAATGAGGCAATTTAAAGGTGGGGAGACTTTATTTGATGGTGATTCTGGAGTCAGATGATCAGAAAGAAGACGGGCGGCTCTGAAAAACACTGCGTTAAACTGGAATAAGGCTCATTATCTACAGGAGTCTGTGTGAAAGCTGCACAAAGCTTTATTCATAACGGAACGCACTTTCTTTACCAGATCAACATCCAACGCACGGCCATTTAATGCAGTAAATACACCAGATTAACCACAGAGAAAACATTATAATAATACAAATTAAATAATAATGATAGCAGGGTGTCCGCAGGGTCTTAAAAAGAAAATGAAGGCTATTAAAAAGTATTAAAGGGCATTTTCCAAGGTATTACATTCTGTAGCTTGTTTTCAATCAGTATATAAATTGTCCAAAGAGGTTGTATTCTACAGTCTGCCTGAATGTAATCATTGCGTAGGTGTGTAGTGTGATTCTGTGTAGTTTATTTATGGCATCCCGTTGGGTTTGACGTCATCTGAACAGGACATCGCACGCTCACTGCTTGATAGCGCGAAGGTCCGTTTACGCCGGTTGTTAAACAACATGGTTACGGGGAAATGCAAGTCTGCGTCCAAATGGTTGGAAGATAAGGAGGAAGGACAATCAATACTGTATATAGTCAATGTGAGGTGAAGTGTGTCGCCAAGGTAACCGGTTAAAGGTGGGGAAGGTAATTTTGGAGAAACCAGCTCGAGATCGCTAGAATTTGAAAATACACAACCGGAGAAAATCTGCCACTTCCTTACAGAGCCCCTCCTCCAACACACACGAACGCGCACATGACCAATGAGGGCACGAGATAAGTTTGTGCACAGATGGAAGGCTGACAGGCAGGTAGGCCATCCAGTTATTTTAGCCGGGCCGGCTCAGATGATTGGTCGTGCTTTTTACAGTACTACGGCTTCCACAGATGATATTTATTTATGGATTTATTGTCAAAGCACTTCAGATATTCATTGCTATCGGGATGTTAAGAGCATTCCATGGAATATAACAACAAGTGTTTCTGAAGAGAATTACCTACCCCACCTTTAAAACTCAAAGTGGCGATGAGGTCTTAAAATGTATTACATTTGACTTCAGGATTCCTGCATATAACCTGTGATAGGAATAATAATAATGATGATGATGATGATAATAATACCAACACATTTTTTTGCTTTTAAAAGCTACTCAAATACATGTTAAAATTAATAAATGATCAAATGTGTGATTCTGCATTCAGTAGAATAAAAGATATGTATAGTATTTGTTCAGAGCAAGATGACATTTTGTTTAGAAACCAAATGTAATTGTGCCTTTGTTAATGGCCTGTACCAAATAGTACCAAAAGTAAAAGTACTTATTTTGCGTAATGGGTCTTTTCAGAATCATATACAGCTCTGGAACAAATTAAGAGACCACTTCAAACTTTTCTTAAATCTCAATCTCTACATGTATGGCTTCCATTGCAGAGTCTGTTGAATTCAAACACAGAGAAATGTCGTCCGTAGTATAAAGAATAACATAAAAAAGGTTCATCTTACTCAAACACCAACCTATAAATAGCAAAACCAGAGAAACAGATAATGCTCCAGTGGTCTCTATGTTTATTCAAAGATTGAAAGGTTTTATTATCATATGCACAGCAGCTACACAGGGGCGCACCTTGCGAACAGGCAAGGCAGGCAACAGCTTGGGGCCCCGGACCAGAAGGGGGCCCCCAGAGAAGGTAGATTAAGAAGGTCCACAGCAACGACAACATGAAGCATCCTTGAATGTACTGCAACGACATGAAACCCCCTCAAGGCGGCCCCATGCATAGTGTGCCGTAACATGCTGCTTCTCATCTTAAAGTGGACCTATCATGCTATATTTGAATAATATAGTGTAGGACCATACCTATATAAGGCATATTTATACCTTTTTTTTTTTCAAAATACCAAACAGATCATGCATTTTAGCCATGCCTCATTTTGCTCAATTTGACAAATGTTAGCTCTGTTTTAGCAAGGGCAGATTCAGTGAGAACAGCACCATCTACAGGCCTGGCATATGTACTACAGCGTCTCCAGTGCTTTCGAACGGCAATGGCCGTGGCTGTCTCCTCCTGATTGGTGGAGTTGGCCCAATAGCCGTAGCGCCACCGTCCTGACGTCAGGACAGTGTTCAAATCTGGATCAGTTTTTATCAGATCCGTTGCAGCCCCTTTTTTAGAGATTTGGGTATGGAGGAAAATAGAGAGGGTTGTGTTTTCTGACACTTGGTGAGTTCCCTGGAACACCGGGGACACATATTCATGTGTAAAAGACGTACAAAAGTGCATTTTGCATGATAGGTCCCCTTTAAGTTTCGTTGCCTTGCTCCGCTCCGGGGGGGGGATGAAACGCTGGTTCGAGGGGCCCCCAGTGAATGTTTGCCTAGGGCCCCCACCGACTCTAGGATCGCCACTGCAGCTACAGTGTAGAAATGGCAATGCAACATAGTTATATAAGACATTAAACAATAAAACACATACAAAAATGCAAGTCAAATAAAAATAGAATAGAATAGTGCGGATTATGTTGGAGACCATCTGCCATCGTTGCCATTTCTCCATTCCTAATGTAGTTAGTAAGAGCCTTTGAATCTTTAAATCTTGAATATATACATAAACGATTCTGAAAAGGGCCATCATTACGATATTATATTTTGTATTAGCTAATAATCTGAGTCTGTAGATCTGTAGGTCTGTAGAAGTAGATCGAAGCAAAACCTTGAAAAGTAGTAAAACATGTATTTCTTCCAGTCAGATCCCAGGTCAGCAGCACCTTGTTTCCATCTATTCAAAGGATCTTTTGTAGGTTTTACAATATCTATTTGAAGTGCCCTTCCTCCTTCGATCAGGAATATTGCCTTTGTTATCAACCTCCGCTGCGACACAATGTGAATACATCTGGTGAATTCAGTTTGAAGGCGCGCTGCCTCCTTTTCTTTCCTCCTCTGAACTTGACAAGGTTAATTCGGAGGTGTGAGACACGCTCAAGATCATTTCAGAACCCGTGCCAATTTGAATGAAAGGAGGATGTATAATCTGAATATTACAGCGGGCTGGTTTGTGTTCAATAAAATGGTCGTGTGTAGAAGGCTTTACATAATTAGGTGCTGTGGGATGAAGAGGTCTAATCTTTTGTATCATCTACACAGTAGGCTATTACAAGAGAGTAATGGATTACATTGAACAGGTAATCAGGATACAAGACGACCCTTACAGTTACATTAATAAATTATGGTTTCTGTTACATTTCTAAACATTGGGATTCCTGGCAGGATTACAATGTTAGTTAAAAACTAAAAACAGCATTTTTGTATGTAGTGTCTTCGCTTTAAAGAGTCCTCTCCTGCTGATGTTCAGGTGTATATCAGTATGTAGTGTCTCTACTTTAAAGAGTCCTCTCCTGCTGATGTTCAGGTGTATATCAGTATGTAGTGTCTCTACTTTAAAGAGTCCTCTCCTGCTGATGTTCAGGTGTATATCAGTATGTAGTGTCTCTACTTTAAAGAGTCCTCTCCTGCTGATGTTCAGGTGTATATCAGTATGTAGTGTCTCTACTTTAAAGAGTCCTCTCCTGCTGATGTTCAGGAGTATATCAGTATGTAGTGTCTCTACTTTAAAGAGTCCTCTCCTGCTGATGTTCAGGTGTATATCAGTATGTAGTGTCTCTACTTTAAAGAGTCCTCTCCTGCTGATGTTCAGGTGTATATCAGTATGTAGTGTCTCTACTTTAAAGAGTCCTCTCCTGCTGATGTTCAGGTGTATATCAGTATGTAGTGTCTCTACTTTAAAGAGTCCTCTCCTGCTGATGTTCAGGTGTATATCAGTATGTAGTGTCTCTACTTTAAAGAGTCCTCTCCTGCTGATGTTCAGGTGTATATCAGTATGTAGTGTCTCTACTTTAAAGAGTCCTCTCCTGCTGATGTTCAGGAGTATATCAGTATGTAGTGTCTCTACTTTAAAGAGTCCTCTCCTGCTGATGTTCAGGTGTATATCAGTATGTAGTGTCTCTACTTTAAAGAGTCCTCTCCTGCTGATGTTCAGGTGTATATCAGTATGTAGTGTCTCTACTTTAAAGAGTCCTCTCCTGCTGATGTTCAGGTGTATATCAGTATGTAGTGTCTCTACTTTAAAGAGTCCTCTCCTGCTGATGTTCAGGTGTATATCAGTATGTAGTGTCTCTACTTTAAAGAGTCCTCTCCTGCTGATGTTCAGGTGTATATCAGTATGTAGTGTCTCTACTTTAAAGAGTCCTCTCCTGCTGATGTTCAGGTGTATATCAGTATGTAGTGTCTCTACTTTAAAGAGTCCTCTCCTGCTGATGTTCAGGTGTATATCAGTATGTAGTGTCTCTACTTTAAAGAGTCCTCTCCTGCTGATGTTCAGGTGTATATCAGTATGTAGTGTCTCTACTTTAAAGAGTCCTCTCCTGCTGATGTTCAGGTGTATATCAGTATGTAGGGTCTCTACTTTAAAGAGTCCTTGTGGGGGATAGAAACTCCCTCTGGAGGGAACACAGCCTTCGCAGACCATTTAAATGCACTAAAACTACAAGAGAGGGAGAATCACAAAAACAGAATAGGGCCTCTTTGAGTAAAATACATCTTATTGATATTCCTTAATATTGTATTTATTTGCATTGCATTTGATATTGAGGTAATCCAAAAGAAAATAATCAGATTACATTACGTCTATATTGGGATACTCAGATTACATTACATTTTTTCCCAGGTAATAGTTGTAGGGGAATACAATTGTAAAGTAACCCTCTGAACATACATGTGTGCATACAGTATGTATAAATGTGTCTGTTGATTGTGTATATAGGATATACATATTTTTATATATATTTGTTTTTGTATTGTGGGAAACGGTATTTCGATCTCTCTGTCTGTACACACAAACTGAAAGTTGACTTTGACTTTGACCCCTGGATATTACCCAGTCACTGACGCTGTCCTTCGTCTTCCTCCTCTTCCTCTTCGTCTTCCTCCTCTTCTTCAGGTACCTACTTCACACATGAAGCCAAAGGAGCAGACGACGCCGCGGACGCAGACACAGCCATCATCAACGCAGAGGGGGGGCACACCAACTCGGACGAAAAGAAGGAATACTACATCTAAAGAGGACCCCAACCCTCAGCCCGCTTTATGGAGCTGCTTCTGGGGCAAGAGGTGGAGGGAAAGAAGGGTGGAGATGGAGGTGGAGTTTGTTCAGGATAGAGGGGTTTCAAAGAGAGAAAGAAGGCCTGGTTTCAAACCGTTGTTTAGTCTAGTCTGCAGATGTAGATGGAATGTTTTGTGTGTACAAAAAAAAAAAAAAAAATCAAAAATCAAACAAAAAGGACAAAAATGGAAGTAGGGGTTTTTTTCGGAGGCAGAGTTGGAGGAAGGGGTTTTGGGGGGATTTGGCGTGCATTGCCAGAAAATTCACTGTAGAGAGCTTCACCATTCGACACCTCCCTAACTGCTGGTACGGATTTTATTTAGTTCAACCATTTGCAGAAAATTCTGTGCCTTGTTCTATCCATACTTTGGATTTGTGTTCGATCCTCATTTCCCCCGTTTCATCTCCTCATCGATGTGCTGTTGGCTTTTTGTATGAGAGTAAAAATTACACAGCCACTTTATTCATTTCCCCCCTAAATGTGTCCGCACTCACACACTGCAAAACTCTTTCCAGTATACTGTGATTTGTCTCAAGCCATTGCTCCCCTCTCTCGTTATTTAAGTTTCGACAGCTCCAGAAATGCATGGAATGCTTCACATATCATTGTACAAAGAGCATAATGAGAAACAGGTTTCATGTGCTGTATATTCTCCCCCTGAACACACTCAAAACATAATCAAAAAGAAGGCAGCGAAGGATAATACGAAATGATTTTTATTGGTGTTTGCAATCTCAGAGGAGATCTCTTAAATAATCCTTTAGAAGAGAATATCTTTCTCACCGTGCTGCCATTTTAATATTTGTATTTCCTCCTCTCTTTTAGTCTATGATCTGTTTTCGCCCCAGCTTTAATTGAGTTGTGATGATGAGATTCAATTGATTTCCATCTGCTCTTACAAATGGTTTTAAAATTGTTTTTCTTGGCGCACTCTCAGTCAAGATGGCTCAGTAATACGGAAAAATTGGTGTTAAAATTGGCCAAAAGATGTATTGTACATAACTTTAACACACAAAAATAACTGAAACGGCAAGTGAATTTATTTTACTTCACAAAACATCCTCCCTTCACAGAATCCAATGTAAATCAAGCCAATGGAATCACAGCTGTATATTACACTAATCCTTACTAAGAAATATTTTTTACTAGAATTACAATGTGTGGATTTCATCTTGTCACACTCATTGTGTTTGGGAGAGTTCATGTCTTCACACTGAAGAGACAGGCCAGTCTTTCCATCGCAACATACATTTTGCTTTAAATGCAGCAGCTTGAGTGCGTAAACGGTTGATCGTTTTCTGCATGTTTGTACGTGCTAAAACTCATTTATTTTTGCTTCTCTATCTATGTATCACCTGCCAGAAGTGAATAAGGTTCTGTTAGTGCTGCAGATCATTTAATATACCAGGGAAATCCTTCAAAAGTGGATCCAAGTAGTCAAATTGGCCACTCAAAAATCCAAGATGGCGGCATTTTCAAGATGGCCGCCAATGATGGCTTGGAAATGTCTTTTTTTTTTTGCCATAAAATCACTTTCACTTGTTTTAAGGATCTTGGTCTCAAATCATAACATGTTGACCACAAAGAAACCAAATTCAGACGTCAGGAATTATACAGAAGTTTAATTTTACCATTTCTAAGCCATAAGATCAACGTAATCTGCCAATGGAAAACTGAGTAGCCCAACATGCGTGTTGGGAGTGGAGATGGTTGAGGTATCTTTGGGTGGAGAAGTGTAGTAGTACTGGTGACATAATGGTGTTCAGTGTGGGCTAGCTAGTTTTGCTAACTTAAAATACTGGTATTAGTGTGGTTTAGTGTCCCAGATGCTTTCTAATAAGCCCCACATTTTAACATAATGAATATAAAATGACGTAAAAAAGCTCTGAAGAAGTTTTGTATTAGTCAATTTGACTCCCCTATTGGCAATATCATATAATTCAATCCCAAAATCACCAAAATGTATCCAGTTCACTTGGCTGGAAATGGCGGCCATCTTGGAAAACGGACGCAACTTTGAAAATTCAAGTGGCTTTTTAAAATAAATGACCCCAGAGAGATGAAAATGGACATGTTGGAGCGTGTATCCACTTCTGAAAGATTGTTACAGCTATCTGCAGCACTATGTGCTTCTCTGGAGCACTGAAGAATGGAAAAAGTAATTAATTATTTTGAGGGAAATGAATACACAGGTTGAGCTCCGAGGTCGTAAACCATGGTTGCATTAATGCACTGGCTTCTTAACATGGAAACGAGGGTGTATTCATGGCATTGTTTGTCTTAATTGTGTCTCACACAGCAAGAAGCGTGCATAATGACTCCCCAAATGATCAAGGTTTGCACCAACAGAGCTTGGATCAGGCTTTTCGTGTCATTGTAAAAACCATTTAAAAGGATAAACATATCATCAAACCTAACAGTGGCTGCAACCATTTATGAATGTTTAGTTTTTCAAAGGTTAAAAGCTAGCATCTTTAGAGTGGTGTAGGAATGAGTCCTAAAACCCGGTAATGAGTCAGCATTTTTGATCATGTTTTTGGTTGTTAGCCTGAAATAATGTCTGTGGTAAACATAAGCTGAAGAGATTTTAACTCGACGACTAAAGAGTCAAAGATGGCGGCATTTTCAAGATGGCCTCCAATGATGGCTTGGAAATGTCATTTTTTGTTTCAAATCATAAACTTTTGACCACGAAGAAACCAAATTCAGACGTCAGGAATTACTCAGAAGTGAGATTTTCCTTTTGAACAAAACGTCTAAGTTACAAACGTTTGTCTGCCACAGATCATCATTTTTGCTAAATACCTAAATCCAATGGAAAAAAACAATTGGCTTTTTGTCGAGGGAGCCCTTGCGATGCTAACTTCCGCATCTTCCCACAACTTCGTCACTGCACCACTCTATAGGATAAACCATATCAAATCTGTAGATAGAAATGCGTCAATACCAATCATATCTAGTGATGAAACATTGTTCACGAGTATGTCACTTGTTACCAGTCGGAGGTAATGGTGTTTCTTGCTGTGTGGACACTTAAAAGTCTCAATTGCCATGTTTGATTGGAGTTTCCCAATGTGCAACAAACATTAACAACGTGATAGCTTTAATATATCATTCTCATGCATGAAGGCTTTCCGTATTAAGACATGGGGTCGTACAAAGGGAGGTGAAGAGGTTTCTTGTGAAGTGCATTAGATAATCGCCTGAAAATCTGTGCATTTTCTTAAATTTGTTTGATATTTTATCATGCAGCCGTAGTGATTGGTGGGAGCTGTTTTCTATTAGATATAGGGGGACTACAGGAGTGTCCAAAACTCTACATGCCTCTGTTAAAAACGTGATTTAATTTAAATTCTGTACTCGTAAAAGGAATTACCACTAAGTTCACACTGTATGCTGATGACACTGCTGTTTTGTGTTTGGATGGGTTTGGGGTGGGGGAAGGGTTTCTGATTAGGTTTCGATGTTTTCCAGTCTGATGTCTGATCAAACTATTAACTGACTTGTTATCGTTCATTTATGAATCACAGAGCAGATGCCACTCCACGTGTAGGACTGAGATTGTGTGATTTGTATTTTACAGCGAGCGCTATTTCGCTTCGGTGGCTGCTTCCATTTTCAATCAAACTTCAAAATATGTCTTATCAATAAATAAATAGATCTGAATACTGTCTTCTTCCTGAAGGGTGCGTTCACACCGGATGCTAAGTGGAGATTTGAGTTTAACCGCGGCATAATTTGTGTCCAACTAGACGTGCTGGCGAGGAGGCGGGGCTTAAGTCAATGTAGATACCAACAACATATTGAACATATTTCGCCGTAGTAAATACGGATATCAATTAGTAAATCCATGAATTAATGCTTTAGCAACTTTTTCCACAAGAAGGCAGGCAAACACTTTTAACATCTTTGTTTTCTGAATAGAGTTTGGATCAATCAGGCTAAGATAACTTTGACTTGACATGTTACGTGCCGCGCGAAAAATTCACTTAGCATCCGGTGTGAAAGCACCATAAGGAATTAATATTTACTTTGTTCCATTTTTCTTTCCGGTAGGAACAGGAGTGTTTCTCCAAATGTTTGACCGACCATTCATTTCCAAAAAGTTACAAAAAAAACAACATTCAAGTAGATATTCAGGAAAGATGAAGATTCAATTTGGATGAATTAGCATAATGATAGTTTAGGCTACTGTGTGTGTCATTTTATTTTATATTAAATGCCCAGTAAAGTGAAAAGGTCTCACAGTGTAGTTTCTCCACATTAAATGAATTTGTCCTGTCTCTGGTTCATGCGTTGCTAAATGATGTGACTGCATCTCAGGTAGAATGCAAAGTTTTAGGCCCCACCAAATCACATAAAAGCAAGTACAATGCATCCTCATCAAGTGCAACACGTTATTTTAGATCCAAGAGGCAAACATTTGGTGGTATTTTGCATATATGTTGTACATGTTTCCTGTATTTTTCTTAATATTTGGTGCACTGTAAAAGATGTGTTGAGTATTGCTTTGTGTTGACATAGGTCATAAAGAGTACACTGTTTATTGGAATGAAGCAGGATCAGAAAACTTGTTGTGGCTGTACTTCTACTACTACTTCTACTTCTTCTTCTGTCACTATCCTCGCACCACCGCCTTTGGAAGCACGTTTGAATCCCGAAAAAGTTCTGATAGTGTCACCAGTCATTGTTTTTAGATTGATTCCTTTATGTCTCTCTGCTGTTCTTGGGAAATGTTAATGTGTATTAATGGAGAAAAAGGAGTTCCACATTCCCATACACATTTTGTATTGGTTCATAAATAGACATTTTTACAAAACAATGAAGAGTTCTTGTCTTAATAAAAAAGAAAAGATATTAATGTCCAAAATAATCAGTGTTGGTTTTGTTTTTTACTGTAAATGTTAATGTTTTATGATGATGCACAACAGGTTTGTAGAGGAAATGTCGCCGTACCGGGAATTAGCATCTCCCTGCCTGGATCCCTTTGCCAAAAGCCAATGGTATTTTCCCATTGGATTTTGGGTTATTGCAGAAAATAATCTCTGTGTCAAACAAACGTTTATGACACTTACACATTTAGGGATAATCTCCACATATTAGCACCTCTTTGTGATCTTTTGAAGTAAAAAGCTAACGTTAGGCTATAAAGGAACTACAGCATGGTCACATGACTTCACGTCTCCACCGCTAAGCTAAAGGTGGCTAATGTTGGGCTATAAAGGAACTACAGCACGGTCACATGACTTCACGTCTCCACCGCTAAGCTAAAGGTGGCTAATGTTGGTCTATAAAGGAACTACAGCACGGTCACATGACTTCACGTCACCACCGCTAAGCTAACGGTGGCTAATGTTGGGCTATAAAGGAACTACAGCACGGTCACATGACTTCACGTCTCCACCGCTAAGCTAAAGGTGGCTAATGTTGGTCTATAAAGGAACTACAGCACGGTCACATGACTTCACGTCTGCACCGCTAAGCTAAATGTGGCTAATGTTGGGCTATAAAGGAACTACAGCACGGTCACATGACTTCACGTCACCACCGCTAAGCTAACGGTGGCTAATGTTGGGCTATATAGGAACTACAGCACGGTCACATGACTTCACGTCTCCACCGCTAAGCTAAAGGTGGCTAATGTTGGGCTATAAAGGAACTACAGCACGGTCACATGACTTCACGTCACCACCGCTAAGCTAAAGGAGGCTAATGTTGGGCTATAAAGGAACTGCAGCACGGTCACATGACTTCACGTCACCACCGCTAAGCTAAAGGAGGCTAATGTTGGGCTATAAAGGAACTACAGCACGGTCACATGACTTCACGTCACCACCGCTAAGCTAAAGGTGGCTAATAATAATAATCCTCATACCTGCCAACCCTACCGATTTGGGCGGTAGTCTACCGCTTTTGACCTGTTTCTACCGCCTACCGACTAAGCTGACTTTCCCTACCGATTTTCAATCTTGCCAAACTATAACAAATAAAAATGACACTACATAGACACTGGACTCGACTTTTGGCGGACACCGTTTGCAGCGTGTCTGTGATCCCATCATAGAAACAGTCCTCTGTGTTTCAGTCGATCGCGAGATGTGTCTAAAAATAGAACAACAATATTCTGTTTTATCGTTAATGTCCTATAACATAATCTTCCTGTGCCAGAATAATGCACTTGAACACATCAAAGCTTTGTGATTGGCGTGACCCCATGTATCGGGGCGTGGCTGGTGGGCAGTGGGCACTAGTTTGCTGACGTTGTCCGTGTCAACAGGAGTGACAGTCCGCACACACACAAGACCACAATTATGGCAGAAACAAAAGAGCCCAAAATATATAATTTTCACTCCGAGTGGGAGGATGATTATTTTTGTATCTATTCCAATTCAAAGTCCATCTGTCTCTCATCTGCAATGCGAGCGTGGCTTTATCGAAGAAGGGTCATTTAGGAGCGGCATTTCAAAACAGTGCACAAACGCTACGAGACGGAATTCCCTCCTAATTCTGCCTACGCTACCCAAAAGGTGAGGGACCTGAAAGGACCGGCTCAATGCACAGCAGTCCCATTCTTCACCAGGCCCAACAACAAGAGCAAGGCTGCTACCATAGCATCTTATCGTGTCATGGCCCAACAACAAGAGCAAGGCTGCTACCATAGCATCTTATCGTGTCAGGCCCAACAACAAGAGCAAGGCTGCTACCATAGCATCTTATCGTGTCAGGCCCAACAACAAGAGCAAGGCTGCTACCATAGCATCTCATCGTGTCAGGCCCAACAACAAGAGCAAGGCTGCTACCAGAGCATCTTATCGTGTCAGGCCCAACAACAAGAGCAAGGCTGCTACCCTAGCATCTTACGTGTCAGGCCCAACAACAAGAGCAAGGCTGCTACCCTAGCATCTTATCGTGTCAGGGCCCAACAACAAGAGCAAGGCTGCTACCCCTAGCATCTTATCGTGTCAGGCACGTTCTGCCAAACACATGAAGTCTTTCAAAGACGGCGAAGTTGTGAAAGAAGCATTCCTGGAGGCTGCGGACACGCTTTTTGGGGACAGTAAAAATAACAGTAGCATTTCAACAGGTTTTTGATATAATAAAACTCAAGTTAGATACCGTTATTAATCAGCTGTACGTTTGAGTTTGTTTGAACTGATTCATTATAATGATTGTACAAAATGGTATAAGAATGCAAACTTAAATTGATTATAGTTTATTATCAATTCAGGTTAAGAAACTAGTGTTGCTTGCATCCTATTTTAAAGGCATTTCTTTTTATACTCTACTAAAATGCAACAACAAATAGTTTGATTCTATTAATGTAGTCTTTTTTATTGCACTTTGGCAGCAGATTCCTGTGTAGCTTCAGATCTGAGTTGTCTTATTAGTAAGCCTAATTTATACTTTTGTAGCAACACTATTTGTATATAATGGCAAAGAAAGGGTTCAGAGTCTTTTCTTTTTCTCCTGTATCATATGTGGCAGCACTGTTCAATGTGACGTGTGGATAAACTCCAACTCTGCATCAACAACACTGTTGTGTAACTTCAGTTAAATACTTGTGTGTAGATTAGAAAGAGGTAAGAGAAAGGATCTGCAGTATTTTATGAAGTATTAATCGTACAAAGGTCAGTTTAATACAAGTGTGTATTTACCTGGTAGTAGGCTGTCAGTAATGGCTACGCCTCTCTATTTGGACTGGTAGATCTCGGCAGACTGGCAACTTTAAAAGTAGCTCTCGGTTCAAAAAAGGTTGGGCACCCCTGATCTACAGTGCTCAACTGAAAGAGGACCAGAAACACATTACAAATATAATAACATGTGGAGACTTTGGGATATTTATCTCCCATTCTTTTACTTTTTGGGCATTTTACAGACCAAACATGTCGTTGATGTCACTGTTTACCAAACTACCACTTTTTCTGAAAAATGCATAAAATGATGCAATATATGTTAAATACATGGTTTATACCTGTAATTACTGGGGTTCCATTTCTTCTGATTACCTCATTTGGGCGTGCACATTTGCCGCGCGCAAACCTACCTCTTTTGGATTTGGAAAGGTTGGCATGTATGTAATCCTTATATTTATTATAGCGCTTTATCAATGACTCAAAGCGCTTTACAGATACACATTACACATACAGACCATACATACATGTAATGGTCTACTGTGGACAATACCCACAGGAGCAAGTTCAGGTGAAGTGTCTTGCCCAAGGACACAACGGCTTTACAGACGCAGCGGCGGCGGGTTTGACCCCCTTGATCTGATGATCAATGCACAGCGCACTGCGCCACACCGGCCATCTTCACACCTCGAAATCATCGAGGCGCTTTTACAAGTACACATTAATATCATACGTGTACTGTGGACAATACCCACAGGAGCAAATTCGGGTGAAGTGTCCAAGGACACAACGGCCTGACGCAGTGGCAGCGGGAGTGGGTTTTGAACTGGAGTTCCCCAACGCCCTCTTGATCTGATGATCAGACGCACAGACGCACAGACCACTGCGCCACCCGTCCCCACCCGTAATGTTGGGCTATAAGGTATAGAGTATATAGTATTGGTCGGATCTCAAACATTTTTCACATGTGGCCCTAATCTTCTTTGGTAAATATACACCATCCCATTCAGATGTTCATTTTAAATACACTTTTTAAATATCTTGTCTTACTTATTCCTTGGTGAAAGCTCCTTTTCCTATCTGAAGTGAACCTTTGCAGGGGTCGATGTCATGAAATCTTTACCATATGCATAAACCAGTGTGAACACGCAGTATGAAGCAGGCGCCCCTAATTAACACAAATATAGGGTAATACCTTGCGGAGCGCCGTGAAAGCCTGAATAAATTCGACAGGATTTATATTCTGGAAATCAATCTCTGCTTCCCCGCGCAGTGAACCCTTTTTTAACTAACATCTTAAATAAATGTAATATTGATTCCCAACAAAGCAGATGTGGGGCAAGCTATCGTGTATTCCTACCATTCATATTTAATGCTCATCATGAGTCAGGCTGTACTTTGGACGTTAACACACCCATAATATTCGACATTCAGTCGATGACTTGAGGAAGATATTATCTTTTTAATTACATTTTCACCTCGGGCTCTCATTACAGCTCAAGTGCAGTACATAATGAGCCAACACCTTAAATAAGTAAAGGTGATACCACTATTGATTAAGACCCGAGGCGAGATATCAGTCATATACAATCTGAGTTCATGTGTAATGTGCATTCGTTGCTCTGTTATGGACCCATTACTCAATATCCTCAAATAACTACGATGGAAAGAAATGCAATTCATTACAAGCTAACTGACTCCAAACGGCAGCACTTAATAAAGCCGGAGTCATTTCGCCGTGAGTGTCCTTGGTGTTTTGTCTACAGTAATGAAAAGGTCAGTGATGCGCTCTTGTCTTTATGTGTTAACCTTGCCAGTTTAAAAAGGGTAAAGCGGCAGTATCCTGAAACTGTATTTACCCATTACGTGAGCAGCTGCATTATTTGCCTCGTCGTTTGATCCTAATCTAATGAGCTCTTGTCCTTGTTATCACTCACATGTTATCCTCAGATTGGCTGTTTAGCATCCACCCCAGAGGCCGTTAAGATTAGAAAGATGTTCCACAAAGCAAACCTCAACAGGTGAAGTGATTAGGAGTGATTTATTGATTGTGAGATTATCAGAAGCAGGAAATAGCAGACCCATAAACTCTTGAGGTAATGGCGACCCTTAAGGGCACTCAGGAAATTAGGCCACCTGTAAAGGGCTTACAAAAAGCCCCTTGCAATCAAACCAGGCCCCCTATTTTATCATTAAATACAGTCACTACAATTATATATATCAGCATGTGCTTGGAAACACG